TATAAAAATAATGTTTCGAAAAATAAAATAGCTATCATCACTAATGTGTACTTAACATTAGATGATAACTAATTTTTTCCAAAAAATAATTTCTTTATCGAATGGTATTCAAATTTATAAAAAGCATGTATATTTACTCAATTTTCTTAAATTTTTATATATTTTAGGAAGTCTCATTTTTAAGAAACCATTTAATTGATTGGAAACCATACATACTGCACTAAGGCTCAAAAAATTATTATCAACCTTAATTCAGGTTTGAAGATTGTGAATTAATTTTTTTTACAACAATATTCTCCTTAATTACCAAATAGAGAAAGTATTAATTGTTTGTATTTTGAATACTTTAGAAGAATGTGCAAAGAAATTATAGTATTTATCTATACTAGCCTATTTGGAAAAAGCAAAAATTTTGATTGAATTTTAATAATTATTTGTTTATTAAAATTTAAAGTAGAAAATTCTTTGTAGAAGGATCTATAAAGGTGCATTGATTATTAAAATAGAAATGTTATTATTTCTAATATTTACAAAGTTGAATAATAAAATTAAAAAGTCTGCATAGCAACACATTAACATCCCTTTATTAATTTATTTATTGTCAATATATCAATTAAACTTAAGAGATTTATGATATTTTGGCTTAACAATAGTAGAAATTCAAAAGTAAATACAATTATCGAAGAAATGCCATCAAATGAAAAATGAAAAAGCTATTAAAACCTCAATAATCTATTTCCTATCTTAACCTTTATGTTTATTTATTGCTTTAATATTGATTATATTTGAGTTAGAAAAAAATTAGAGCTGATGAGGCTAAAGATCTTCATTCTCCCGAAGATGAACCTTTTTGTTAGTAATTAAATGACTATATGTTTGAATTTAACTGTAAGACTATATTTCAGAGCTATCAAAAGGTATATTGTTTCAATAAAAGAAGAAATAGTTTATAAATAATCTTCTTATATCATTTCCCAAATTTAAGAAAGAATATAGAAGAAAAATAACTTAGAATGAAAGTTTAAGTAAACAAATTTAAAATGGAATTAAGTTTTAGTTTAATAGACCTATTATCTGATGATAATTTTCCTAATTTTTTAATGATAAATTAGTGATATTTCAAAATAGTTTTGTTTAAATATTGAAGGAAATTACTTGTATCATTTTGATTTCCATCTATTCTCTTATTAGCTGTATTTTATAATCAGTATTATAAATTTAATGAAATTAAATCTATGTCATTCCTTTCAATCTAAAATATGAAATGAATTCTTAGGTTTCTATAGAATTAAATTATTTTTTCTTTGTGTTCTTTTAAGCGTTATTAATCCTAATTAAATTATTTGAAATCCTACCTTAATCATTATGGCTCTATTAACGTTTTAGAACCTTAAGGATTTGCTTAATTTTGTATAATATATGATTCCATTACATTACAGTAATTTATAGTTTATTAAGACTCCTTTTGATAGATTCAACTCTCCAAATTTAAGGTTAAATATATCTAATTGTGCATTTAATTCCTTGGCTTAGCATCTGTGTTCTCTTTTAAGATAGCTAAAGAATAGTGACACCATTTGTGTTTCACTTTTTTAACACATAAAGTAGGGTGTTGTGCTAATGAATTTTATTTCATTTTAGAATGATAATTTTACTTTACTCCTTATTTAATTTAATAATTAGGAATTCTTTAATGAACACTAATGATATATTTTCTATCTTCTCTAATTTAGATTATTACTTATTGGGCTTTAAATTTTAATTTGAAAAATTATAATATAAGAATATCTTTACTTTAAAAAATGTTTTGATATTTTTTCAAGAAATGATTAAAATATAAATCAGTTCTAATAAGCCAAATCATAAGAATGAAATTTTCATTCTGGTTATAAAAGAAGCTTTCAAAGTTCATCTTATTGATTTGTAACAAAGTTCAATAAAATGGATTCTTAGATTGAGTTGACTAAAAACAAAAAGAATTTTCCTTTAATGCTGCAATATACAACTGCTGTAATTATGAATATGTTTGGAAGGCTTTGACTTTCCCCAAGTTCTTCGGGGTAAATTTGATTAAAATTGTATATCACCAGGATAATTGATATAGGAAGGTTTGGGAGGACTTAAGACAGTAAGCTAGCTTATTATGAGGCTTTCATTATTGTCAGAATAGTATCCTAATTATTTTTTCTATATTAAATAGATAGAAAGATGATTTCTTTCAGAAAACTTTTTCAAAAGAATTTCTAGTCGTTTAAGATTAATTTTTTAATAAAAATTAAATTAGCAGGTATAATTTGAAAAACTTAAGATTCATCATCCATCCTAAATTTAGAATTTAATATAGCTCTGATAGATTATATTTGATTGAGAATAATAATAATTTAATTTTCGGTCCAAAATTTATTTATATTTTAATTGTCTAAGAAATCAAATTTTATAAGAAGAAATCAGAATCTAATAATTAAATTAAAAGGAAGAAAAAAAAATCATTTTGACTTTCTCTACATTAGAGCAAATCTGTCGATAATAAAGAAAAGTGCTATCAAGTGTAAAATAAATTGAACTTTTCTATACCTTAGACTAATGGCTGGAGAAATAATATGCTTTATTAATGACGATGAGTTTTATTAAAAGACTCAAAGCCATAAAAGTTAGAAAAGTAAATTAATTTCATCAATGTTAATCTTTAGGCAAAGTTGAAATTTATTTTTATTAATTTATTAAATAGTATAAAAACAATATTTTGATGATGATGAAAAAGATCTCAAGATAATAACAAAAAAAATAGTATTGTATTTAAATATTGAGATATTTTGTAATTTTTCCATTATTACTATTATATTAGTGGCTGGGAGAATTTTTACTCCTCTATGGAGAAAAAATACACTCTTTTGATAACAAGAAAAACATAGAATTTAATCAAAACATAAGAAATATAGATTTGACAAATTTCAAAATTAATTAGTTACCAAATTGTCTATTGATTACTTAATTATGAAGTAGTTAAAAGAGTAAATTATTATAATTAATAAAATTAATTGTTGATCGAAGAAATCATATTTTTATATATTCAATTATTAAAATTCCTAATAGAGCTAAAAGATGGAATACTCTTGGAAAATTTAGAAAATATTATCTTTGGTAATTTAAAATACTTATTCAATGGAGTGATCAACTATTTATTCCAATAATTGAAGTTAAATAAAGAAATTATCTATAATAATAAAAGAAACTATATATTGGAAATGTGCTTTGATAATATTTTTGGTTTTTGTTCAAGATGAATAAAATTAAATTTTAATTTTAAATATTTAATCAATAAATAATATATATTTTTTGATTTAATTTTTCAAGCTTAAGATATAATTTATAAAGGCTGAATATATTCAAATTCTAGATTTTCAAACTTTTTTTAATTTATTAGAGTGTTGTTTTTTTATTGCACATGTTTTAGATGGTAAACAATTTCAGTTTACTATATATGATATTAAGGAAGGAAGATTGTTGATAAAATACAATTATTTAATTTAATGTAAGGTAAGGTAAGGTAAGGTAAGG